CAGGGTGAGCTTACAGCAGGGTGAGCTGAGCTCCTGCTGTGGCCATTCAAGAAATCATTGGCTGTGTGCCGTTGTTAGTTACCTCATCCTGCTGCCCACAGTACACCAGTGCAGATACACCCTGTACGCGTTATTACCACATCCAGCAGAATGTTGCTTGTCTTGAAGTCCCGGCGAATCACGTTCTGCCCGTGCAAATACACCCTATACGCGTTATTACCTCATCCAGTAAAATGTTGCACGTCTTGAAGTCCCTGTGAATCACGTTCTGCCCGTGCAGGTACTCCAGCCCTCTTGCCACGTCCACAGCTATGCGCACGCGCTGCTGCCACGTCAGCACAGGCGTGGCGGGATCAACGGCGCTGGCAGCAGCACCAGACACACCCCTAGCCGCTGCAGCAGCTGTAGCAGCAGCATCCCGTATAGCAGCATCATCTATAGCAGCAGCGTTATCTGTAGCAGCCTCACTCATACCCCCCCAACTCCGCTTCCTCTCCTCCTCCTCCCCCTCCTGCTGCTCCTCCTGCTGACGTGGATACAGCCACGTGTGCAGATTCCCCCTCTCTATAAGCTCATACACCAGCAATGCGGCAGCACCCCCCCGGGGCCGATTCAAGTCCACACAGTACCCTAGCAGCCGCACCAGATTAGGGTGGTTTAAACTTCCAAGCATTATAATCTCTGACATACACTCATCTACGGCCTTGAAACTGCCGCTGTGTAGCACCTTCACTGCCACGTCACGCTGACGTGGCATCCCACCTCCACCACCACCACCACCTGAAGCACCACCACCCGCTCTTCCTGCTCTTCCTGCTCTCCCTGCTCTTTCTTCCTCGTTCCTCTGCGCTTTCCCTCCTCCTCCTCTCTCCTCCCCTGGAACCTTCCTGTCATCTTCCTCGCCGAGCCACTCCTCCACCGAGCCTCGGTACACCGTGCCGAAGCTGCCGCGGCCCAGGATCTGGCTCGGGCCGAACCACTGCGTGGCCTGCTGTAGCTCGCGGTAGGTGAACCGGCGGAGTGGTAGCGTGGACCAGGTCTCGTCTGTTGTTGTGAATCGGCTGCCTGTCACTGGCAGTGGAAAGGGGGGAATAGGGACAGGAGGGGAAGAGGGGCAGGAGGGGAAGAGGGGCAGGAGGGGAAGAGGGGCAGGAGGGGAAGAGGGGCAGGAGGGGAAGAGGGGCAGGAGGGGAAGAGGGGCAGGAGGGGAAGAGGGGCAGGAGGGGAAGAGGGGCAGGAGGGGAAGAGGGGCAGGAGGGGAAGAGGGGCAGGAGGGGAAGAGGGGCAGGAGGGGAAGAGGGGCAGGAGGGGAAGAGGGGCAGGAGGGGAAGAGGGGCAGGAGGGGAAGAGGGGCAGGAGGGGAAGAGGGGCAGGAGGGGAAGAGGGGCAGGAGGGGAAGAGGGGCAGGAGGGGAAGAGGGGCAGGAGGGGAAGACACAGGAAGAGAGGCAGGTCTCGTCCTTTTGAGAATCGGCCACTTGCCTTTGAAAATGCTCAAGAGCCAGATCGGCGGAGTGGTAATGCGGACCAGGTCTCGTCCTTTTGAGAATTCTCAAAAAAACATACTCCGTTGAGAGGGGCACTGGTAGTGCCCCTCATCCGTGGTTGTGAATCGGCTAGTGCCGGACACTGGTAGGAGGGGAAGACGTGGGGAGAGGAAGGAGGGGAGGCAGGAGGGGAGGCAGGAGGGGAGGCAGGAGGAGGGGAGGCAGGAGGGGAGGAGGAGGGGAGGCAGGAGGAGGGGAGGCAGGAGGGGAGGCAGGAGGGGAGGCAGGAGGGGAGGCAGGAGGGGAGGCAGGAGGGGAGGCAGGAGGGGAGGCAGGAGGGGAGGCAGGAGGGGAGGCAGGAGGGGAGGCAGGAGGGGGGCAGGAGGGGAGGCAGGAGGGGAGGCAGGAGGGGAGGCAGGAGGGGAGGCAGGAGGGGAGGCAGGAGGAGGAGGAGGATAGGCAGGATGGGAGGCAGGAGGGTAGGCAGGAGGGGAGGCAGGAGGGTAGGCAGGAGGGGAGGCTGGAGGGATTGGTCCTTGAGAGCTCAGAAACTACTAGCTTGGTGGAGTGCTGCTGACGTGGTCCAGGTCTCATCCGATGTTGTGAATCGACTAGTGCCTGACACTGGCAGGGAGGGAAGACATGGGAAGAGAGGCAGGAGAGATCGTGCGAGAGATTAAGAGGAGCCACCGCGTGGCCTGCTGGAGGTGGAGGTGAGGTCACTTTGAGGAGGCGAGGCTGCACGCGATGGAGTGGACGGCAGCCAAGCCATGTAAGTGGAACCACGGCCGTGAGCGGTGCACGTGGCAGCACGCGCCAGCACCCACCTGAGGAGGCGCGGCTGCAGGCGATGGAGTGGACGGCAGCCAAGAAGTACAAGGGGAAGGGAAGGAGGAAGGGGAAGGGGAAGGGAAGGGGAAGGGGAAGGGGAAGGGGAAGGGGAAGGGGAAGGGGAAGGGGAAGGGGAAGGGGAAGGGGAAGGGGAGGGAAGGGGAAGGGGAAGGGGAAGGGAACCGACCACGACTTTGGTCGGCGCTGGCGAGGAGATGAAGAAGAAGGTCTATACTGAGAGCAAGAGAAATGAAGAATACTGCGAACAAGAGCAAGAGAAGAAGAAGAAGAAGCGCAAGTGGCAGCACGGACCTGAGGAGGCGAAGCTGCAGGCGATGGATTGGACGGCTGCGAAACCGTGCAAGTGGAAGTGGAACCACGATCGTGGTTGGCGGCGCTGGGGCATCAGCGACATGCTTCGCGGACCGCGGCCTTTATTCAGCCTGCTCTCGCAGCAGCCCATGATGGCTTAGCGGTGGCGGCGGACGAAGCGAAAACCTTTTTTTTTCTAGGGCGCCTAATAAAAACAGCAGCCCATGATGGCTTAGCGGTGGCGGCGGACGAAGCGGAAACCTCCTTTTTTTTTTTTTTTTTTTTTTTTTTTTTTTTTAGGGCGCCTAATAAAAACAGCAGCCCATGGTGGCGTCCAACATAATCAACCCATGGCGGTGTTAAAAAGACTACCGGGGTGGCGACTGCACCCAGAAGTTGCTTCTGAGTCGACTCAAATGTCGGTGCCACGTCTAACCATGGCGCCCAAGTGCCGTCTCCTCAGCCTATGGCTGGCTGCCAGCGGCGGGCCTCGAGTTGAGCGGTGCAGAGGGTCACTTTTTGACGCTAACCTACTAGTCGCTAGCACATAGGAGTTGGACAGATACCTCTAATTCGTCGCGCGCAAATCACTAATTTCCAAGGCGCGTGAAAATGTCCATTCAAGTGCCTTTGATTAGCGGTTGTTCGAAGTTTTTTTAGAAAGCTGGCGAGAAACATACCGTGTCCCTTTTACTAGAACTAGTACGCGACGCCAGTGGACGCGTCCTAAAATGGTGGGACTGATTAAAGTGGTGCAATATGGTGCACGAGTGCGCGAGAGATAAGCTGAGCAGTTTCAGTAATTAATAGGCTGCAGCAAAAAAATCGAGTGGCTTCACAGCAGTGGGAGATATGAAAGCCGTCCTTCCCAGGCATCCAAAGCAACCATGAGTGTGTCTAGTAGAATCATTCACATGCAAAGCAGTTTTGTGGGTTGCATTACGGTTCAGAATGGAAAAACGCCGAAAATCGTTGTTGAATGCTTGGAAACGCACTGAACCGCACTAGAGATTTGTTTTGTGGAAAACCATAGGCTACACGGAGGAGCAGCAAACCTTGCTGAGCGTCTCGGCAATCAGGACGACGACTTTCCACCGTACGATAAGTGAGTATCTGCCGTTCGATTATCAATGCTGACAAGGCATCGCGCCGCCTGAGGCTGGTTTCGTCTGCAGTAACGTTACGTTACGTTTGTCGCTGTTGCAGTTTCGCAACAGCCGCGTGCTTTACCTGCTTCAAACGAGACGCTTCCACGTGGCTGCCAAAAGGGATGTCCTGCTTTAACTCTCGATACGGAGATACTTCGATTCTGTACTTAAAATAGTATGAATTGAGTTATACAATTATCTGGACCGCGAGTGCCGTGTTTTCCTTGTGTTACCTCAAAATAGCGCTTCGGCAGCTGGTCAGCAGCAGGTCTGACACAATTGCAAGTAACCAATGAATCGTCGCATCCTGGTGGACCAGGCCAGAAACAAACCTGCAACTTCTGAACCAAAGCACACAATTTGGCGGGAAACACCCTCGAACCGAGCTGTATAAAGCCAAGCCTCACTGTTTTCGCTGAAAGCAAATCACAGAGCGACACATGACTTCCCGCCCCAGCGAAAATTTGGCCTGGCGAATCTGGAAGTCTTGGTGATGATGCTGAACATGGAGCTCCAAAATGTTTCGGCCAACTTCATACATACTCAGATTAGTCCCGAGCGGGCTCTCAGGTGTAATCAGCCTGGACTTTCTCGACGTTGATTGGTCGTCGCTTTTTAGTCATACTGTTTACGCTGGTCGAAATGTTTGGGAGGTGACAAAAAGAGGACTATCTAGTTTACCCTCCCGACTTGGATTTGTTAAACTAAAGTACGTAAATTTATGACAGGGCAGAAAAATAAACCCCTATAGAATCTGGAAGCATTTGCGGGAGGGATCAACCCTAAACACGGTAAAGGGCATTGTTTTTAGGGTCGATGCCTCCCGAGTCGCATCCCTTCTCGATTGGTTTTATTTTTTTGGTCAAGAGGGTGCAATATATTTTTCTGAAGTGGGCGGCTTCCCGTAGTTGAGGTTGATCTGTCTTGAAATTCATCTAGGTTCGCTACAAGTTTTTTTTCAGGTGTTGCATTTTCTGTCGTGACTGTATCCAGAGAATAACAAGAAACACTTACTACTATATCGCGAAACTGTGTTTCTGTTGGAGATTACACCTGAGAATCCGCTCGGTAATACTTTGAGTATCTATGATATTGGCCGAAAACGTTTTGATGATGATTTTCGAGTGCGGGTGGTGTTGCACATTTCGATTTCAAAAACCACGGTTCGGTATGGTTTGTTTTGGTCGTAAGCGTTGAAGTACAGAAATCGCTGTCTATCGTGTGGTACCATACGGTAACGCGCTTCTCCATCATCAAACAAACCTGCCACCAGGCTTTCCTGACATAGTTTGCTAGTCAAGCGATCTGCTACCAGCAATGGCTCCAATGTGTGCTTCGGTTGAAGGGATGGAGATTTCGAAGATTGCATAACCATGCCGACCCATCACCAAACCAGAGTTAGCTTCCGTGGTTCTCGATTTTTCAACTCATTCTGCACGTAAGACTTCGAATGCTGGCAGATGTGACTCGCGAGAGAACTATAACAATCATACAGACAGTAGTGGCGACCTCAGTTATACGCTAGTTTATGTAGATGAGGAACGTTTCAGCAACAGAATGACGAAAGCTGGAGATCCGTCTGCCATGGCGGACCATCGAGCAGAAAGGCATGGAATTGCCGAACCGTCAGCCACGCCGCGATCGTCATCGATTGGTGGTAGTTTCGGTTCATCAATCCCAAGTCCTGTAGTTAAACAACGGTTACTATTCCAGTCACCACAAGGAGCATCGGAAGTCCTTATAGCGAAGGAAAACGGTCCAGGTAAGGAGGGAGGCTCTGGTATTCCAGTGTCACCCAGGCCTGGCCTCAAACCTCCAGGAACGGTCACTAGTCTCCGAACCTCGTGGACACCTTCGTCGCGCCTTCCGTCGAACCTGCCGCGTAGGTCAGGCTCGGGTCAAGGCTCGGAGGACGCAGGGGAGCTGAGCCGGACCAGCTCAGCAAGCTCGGATGCCGGAAGCAGGTTCGGGACGGAAACTCCGGGCAGGAGTAGCGCGAGTGACGCCGCGAGTGCTAGTAGAATCCATTACAATGGTGGAGGGAAGGCGACTGGAGTCCTGCGTCCGAGTAATCATGGTACGTTACACCCGTTAAGGTGTAGTTCATTACCTTGAAGAAAAAATATTATATGTTATGTAACTGCGGCGTCCGCAGTATACCTGTTTCATAACTGTAGATATTACAAGCGGCGCTTTTTAAGTCTGTCTCCTCAGTCTGTTTCCCTTTTTAAGATCCCCGTCATCCTTTTTCGTCAACTCTGTAAATTTCGTAACACCCGTTTCGCACGGATGCTTTTCCTCGCTGTCCCCGGTAACAGCTGGCGAGCAGGCGGCCTCGTTAGCTGCTGACGTCAAGCCGGAAAGGAGATCGCACCCTGGGCAGGAGCAACGGCAGCGTCAGCAGGATTCGATGCACCAGCAGCATGAGCAGCAGCATGAGCAGCAGCATCTGCAGCAGGCGCATCAGGCTGGTGGTAGGTTCGGCTTCAAATCCCCCTCATTGCAAAACCATCGGCAGCACGAATCGCAGCCAACGTCGCCGCTGCTGGCGGCGCAGCAGCCGCGAGGTCACATTCAGCCGGAAGAACGCGTAACTGGAAGCTTCTCCGCAGTTCCGGACGGGTCGGACCGGAGGCTCAGCTTCGGAAGGGTGGAGTCGCAGCTTCGGGTGAAAGAGATGAGAGGCTTGGAGAGGAAAGGTTCGGAAAGGAGAGCCGTTGGGGGAGGGTCGGGAGGGGGTTACGCGCGCGGGGGACGGGGGGAAGCGGCGGAGGAGGAGAGGCGGAGGGAGGATTGAGAGGGAGAGAAAGAGGGAGATAGAGAGGGCGATAGAGAGGGAGATGGAGGTTGCGCGAGAGTGGGAGGAGGAAGGAGAGGGCGGAGAGGGAAGAGAGGGAGGAGAGGGAGAGGTTGCTGAAGGAAGAAAGGGAGAAGAGAGAGGAAGGAGAAGGAGAGAAGAGTTCAGGAAGAGAAGGCAAGGCGTGAACGAGAAGAGAAAGAGAGGGTTGAGAGGGAGAGAGTGAGCAGAGAGGGAACGGAAGGAGAGGAGAGATAGGCTTGAACGGGAAAAGATGGAGAAGGAACGAAGGAGAGGGAGAGGATGGGAAAGGGAGAGGTTTGAGAGGGAGCGGGTGGAGAGGGAGGAAAGGGAACAGCGGGAGAGAATGGAGCGAGAGTTGGAGGAGCGGAGGGAGAAGGAGAGGCAAGAGGAGCTGGCGAAAGTGAGGACAGAGGGAGCGAGAGCGGTTGAGAGAGATTGAGCATGCAGATGGAGCGACAGAGTGCATGTGCGAATCGCAGAAGAACGGCCAGAGGGAGAAGGAGGGGCTGAGGAGCGAGAGAACGAGCGGCGGAGAATGGAAGAGGGGGAGGAAGGAGCGGGAGAGGGAGAGGGAGAAGGAGAGGGAGAGGGTGAGAGTGGAGCAGGAGGCAGAGAGAGGAGGAGCGGGCGGGTGAGGCAGCAGAAAGAAGTCCAGATGCGAAAGGGAGAGGCGCGGAGATGAGCTATCAGGGAAGGCCATGGGGGATCCTCTTCGTGTGATCGCCTGGGTTGCGGGAGCAGGAGTGTCGTCTGCTGCTTTCGGCGAGCCATCCAGCTCGTTTGGAGCACCTTATCAGGTATAAGTTGTGGAATTTTGTTAAGCGGCCATGGGGGGGGGGGGGGTATCCTCTTCGTGTGATCGCCTGGGTTGCGGGAGCAGGAGTGTCGTCTGCTGCTTTCACAGCGAGCCTTCTGGCTCGTTGGTACGCCATATAAGGTAAAACTGAAAGAGGAGCTGAGATTTCCTTAAAATTGCAGCCAAAGGAGACAAGTGCACACATGCCCTTTGCGTTGCGCTCGTAGGTTGGTTCAGCGTGCCATATTGAGTGTTTTTGTTGCCGTGATTGTTTCCTAATGATGCGATTGGAGGTTGATGGTGATTGGTTGATCATCCCCGGGGGTGATTGTGCATGTATTAGGTGTGTCTATGTATGTCCAACTCGTGTTTGTTCTTTCCCTGGGCTTCGGATCATTCTCAGATTGTACGTGATTTAATCACGTGATCGTATGTGTGTCCACTTCGTGTTTTTCTCTCTTTCCAGGCGTCTCCGGATCATTCTCAGGTGCTGCAGCAGTGGGTGCAGAGAGCAACCCACTTCCAACAGCAGGCTGGGATCTGACGTGGCTCCAGCTGACGTGGCTCCAGCTGACGTGGCACCAGCGTCAGCTGTAGCGGACTTTGGCAGGGTGTTAGGGCAGCAGTGGAGGCGGCAGAGGATGTGGCTATAGCGGGGGATGAGGAGCAGCAGGAGGGCGTGGCTGTGACTGTAGGCGCGTGTGACTTAGCTGCAGTGCGACAGCTGCAGGGGAATGCGAGGAAGCGAGGTAAGATGCCACTAGCAAACCATCCACCCCACCTACCAACCACCCTTTCCCTTAGCCTTTTCTCCTCACCCCACCTGGGTGCTATTTTGTCCTTTATGTTCACATTCCCCCAATCTCTCATTCCCCCAATCTCTCATTCCCCCAATCTCTCCATTCCCCCAATCTCACATTCCCCCAATCTCTCATTCCCCCAATCTCTCATTCCCCCAATCTCTCATTCCCCCAATCTCTCATTCCCCCAATCTCTCATTCCCCCAATCTCTCATTCCCCCAATCTCTCATCCCCAATCTCATTCCTTCCAATTCTCTCATTCCCCCAATCTCTCATTCCCCCATCTTCTCATTTCCCCCCAATCTCTCAATTCCCCCAATCTCTCATTCCCAATCTCTCCATCTCCCCAATTTCCTATTCCCCCAATCTCTCATTCCCCCAATCTCTCATTCCCCCAATCTCTCATTCCCCCAAATCTCTCATTCCCCCCAATCTCTCATTCCCCCAATCTCTCATTCCCCCAATTTCTCATTCCCCCAATCTCTCATTCCCCCAATCTCTCAATTCCCCCAATCTCTCATTCCCCCAATCTCTCAGTCTCCCAATTTCTTCCTTCACCCCCCTCCTCCATCCCCCAGTGGCAGCAGCAGAGGCGATGGCGCAGCAGGTGGGGGCATTCGAGTCCACGTGTGGGGCAGCTGGACGGGAAGCGAGGATGGCACTTGTGATTCCCAGAACCTCATTCTCTCCTCTCTTATCCAACAACCCCCCCCCCTCATCCTGCAGTGGCAGCAGCAGAGGCGATGGCGCAGCAGGCTGGGGGCGTTTGAATCCACGTGTGGGGCAGCAGGGCGGGGAAGCGAGGAGGCGGTTAGGGTGGCCATTCAACAGCTGATGGAGTGAGTATGAGTGCTGCTGCTGCTTCTGCTGCTGCACTGCTGCTGCTTTCCCCCTCCCACTCCTTTCCCCCCTCCCATTCCATTGCCCCCTCCCATTCCCTTTCCCTCTCCCACTCCCTTTCCTCCTCTCACTCCCTTTCCCCCCTCCCATTCCCTTGCCCCCTCCCATTCCCTTTCCCCCTCCCACTCCCTTTCCTCCTCTCACTCCCTTTCCCCCTCCCATTCCCTTTCCCCCTCCCACTCCCTTTCCTCCTCTCACTCCCTTTCCCCCTCCCATTCCCTTTCCCCTTCCCACTCCCTTTCGGCCTCTCACTCTCTTTCCCCCTCCCACTTCCTTTCCCCTCTCTCACTCCCTTTCCCCCTCCCATTCCCTTTCCCCCTCCCACTCCCTTTCCGCCTCTCACTCCCTTTCCCCCTCCCACTTCCTTTCCCCCCTCTCACTCCCATTCCCCCTCCCACTTCCTTTCCCCCTCTCACTCCCATTCCCCCTCCCATTCCCTTTCCCCCTCCTAATTCCTTTCCGCCTCCCACACCCTTTCCCCCTCCCACTCCCTTTCCCCCCTCCCACTTCCTTTCCGCCCCCCACTCCCTTTTCCCCTCAAACTCCCTTTCCCCCTCCCACTCCCTTTCCCCCCTCTCACTCCCTTTTCCCTCCCACTCCCTTTCCCCCCTCTCACTCACTTGCCCCCTCCCTCCTGCAGGGTCGTCGCCAATCAAGGCCTCACACTCCATAGGCTTTCCGCTACAGCTGCTACAGCTGCTCCCGCTGCTACAGCCCCTACAGCCGCTACAGCCACTACAGCCGCTACAGGCGGGGAGGAGGAGCAATGGGAAGATCCCTTGGTGTTGGCCGTGGGAGGGGTGGTGGGAAGCAGCGGCTGCGGCACTTAAGAGCTGGCTAAGTGTCGTTGTGGAGGGGAGGAAGGGGAGGAAGGGAGGAGTGGGAGGAGGTGGAGGTGCGGGGAAGGTGGCAACTGGTGCAGGTGCATCTGGTGGGCATGTACTGTTGCAGCCGCCCAAGGCTGCTCTAGCTGTAAGTATTTGGTTTTGTGAGATTTTGCCTTTTTTCTCTCTTTGTGTGAGTCCTGGCCTCTCTGTCTGCTTGAGACGGTGTCTGTGTGAGACGGTGTCTGTGTGAGATGGTGTCTGTGTGAGACGGTGTCTGTGTGAGACGGTGTCTGTGTGAGACGGTGTCTGTGTGAGACGGTGTCTGTGTGAGACGGTGTCTGTGTGAGACGGTGTCTGTGTGAGACGGTGTCTGTGTGAGACGGTGTCTGTGTGAGACGGTGTCTGTGTGAGACGGTGTCTGTGTGAGACGGTGTCTGTGTGAGACGGTGTCTGCGTGAGACGGTGTCTGCGTGAGACGGTGTCTGTGTGAGACGGATGTCTGTGTGAGACGGTGTCTGCGTGAGACGGTGTCTGTGTGAGACGGTGTCTGTGTGAGACGGTGTCTGTGTGAGACGGTGTCTGCGTGAGACGGTGTCTGTGTGAGACGGTGTCTGTGTGAGATGGTGTCTGTGTGAGTACCTGCATTTGAGGTGCCTCATAAGCTGGTTACCATGCCAAGCCATCTCACTTTCACATCACACCCATTTCTCTGTACCCCTTATAAACACATGTCGAGTCGACCTCTTCCATTCCCTCTCTTCCGATCCCACTGGTTCTCTGCATCTCCCCCTTGATGATTTCCCAGGATTTAAGGGAGGCTCGTGATGTGCTGGACGTGTGGCGGCATGAGCTGGCACGGCTGCACTCGCGCCTAGTCAGCGTCGTCTGCCGCTCCCAGCTGATGTCAGCATGCGGCCGCATGACCTGGCAGCCAGCATCGCCAGCTCAGCTCCCGGGCCAGGACCACACGATGGCCCCTGCTGACGTGGCAATGGCGTCTGCTTGCGCTTTCCTGGACCAAGCGATAGACATTCGGCAGCAGGTGAGATTTTTCGGGCGGCAGGTTAGATTCTCTGGCCGGCAGGGTAGATTCTCCAAGTGTCTGGGAGGTGATACTGAAAGAGTTGGCTTGTGCCTATCGCCATTATCAGTTTCTTTTTGTCCTCTTTTCCATCCTTGCAGCATGAGGGGTGGGAGGAGGCGATGACAGCAGCTGCTCTGGTGTGCGACCTGGAAGCTTCCTCAGGCATCAGCAACACCGGTGGTGCTGACGTGGACAGGTGGAGGCGCTTCCTGGAGCCACTCACAGACAGCCACGTGGCAGACATTCTCGAAGGTGCGGAACATACGCAGCGGTTTACTGCTGATAGCCTGTGGAAACCTCTTCTGGTGTGGCTCCCTCCTCCCTCCCTCGTCCGATCCCTCTCAACATCTTCCAACCGCTTCCCCCACCCTCCCCTCCCCCTCTCTCCCCGCTCACACACAGGCGACCTTGCCAGCTGGCGGGCGGTGCAGGGCATCTACTGGGCGGCAGTGGCCCGGGAGGAGGAGGCACTGGCGGGGCTGCTGCAGGCGCGACTGGGGGAGGTGCCATCCGCCATGGGGCGGCTGCAGCTGCTGGCGCAGTGCTCGTCCTTTACTGCGCTGCCGCGGGTATGATTTCAGTAGGCTTGTGTTGTGTGTGGGTCTTGAGCCGACTCAATTGACTGTTCACTCCACTAGGAACGCTCTTACTTGTCCAAAGAGGGTTGTTTTGTTCACTTCAACCTTCAAGGATGGTTGCTCTCAGTTGTTCATACAGTCGTCCCACTTTTTCCCTTGCTGCTCCTCTGCCTTCCCTCCCTCTCCGTCCTCCACCCTCCTCCCCACCACCACGGCAGGTGTCAGCACGCCTGCAGCACGACTTGCAGCAAATGCTGCACGAGGTGGCAGCAGGTGAGAGGGGCGTATGACGCTTTTGAATGCCACCAGTCGAGGTGTATGGTAGTTGCAAGGCAGATGTTGCACGATAGCTGCTGCTTTCTGAAAGAATGGTGGGAGAGGTGTCTGCAACCCTTATGAGGTGTGTGCAACCCTTATGAGGTGTGTGCAACCCTTATGAGGTGTGTGCAACCCTTATGAGGTGTGTGCAACCCTTATGAGGTGTGTGCAACCCTTATGAGGTGTGTGCAACCCTTATGAGGTGTGTGCAACCCTTATGAGGTGTGTGCAACCCTTATGAGGTGTGTGCAACCCTTATGAGGTGTGTGCAACCCTTATGAGGTGTGTGCAACCCTTATGAGGTGTGTGCAACCCTTATGAGGTTGTGTGCAACCCTTATGAGGTGTGTGCAACCCTTATGAGGTGTGTGCAACCCTTATGAGGTGTGTGCAACCCTTATGAGGTGTGTGCAACCCTTATGAGGTGTGTGCAACCCTTATGAGGTGTGTGCAACCCTTATGAGGTGTGTGCAACCCTTATGAGGTGTGTGCAACCCTTATGAGGTGTGTGCAACCCTTATAGTGTGCCAACCCCTTATGAGTGTGCAACCCTTTTGAGAGTTCCCAAAAAGCACATTGTGTCTGCAACCTTTTGAATGTGCTGCTTCCCTGTGCCCTTACCACCCTTCCACCGCCCCCCTTCCGTTTCTTCCTTCCTCCCCCATTTATTTCCCATCCCCTTTCCCCCTCTGCTCTCCCGTCTCCATTCCCCAACTCCTTCACCTTTCCTTCCCATTCCCCAACTCCTTCACCTTACCTTCCCATTCCCCATCTTCCGTTTCCTCTCCGCCTCCCCATTCCCCCTCCCCCACTCTCCTTCCCATCCGCCCTCCCCATTCCCCTTCCCCATCCCCTTTCCCATCTCCCCTCCCCCTCCCCATCCCCCACCCCCCTCCCCACTCCCCGTCTCCCCTTCGCCAGACGTGCGAGCACTGGAGGAGCAGCTATGGCACCCAACCGCAGCCTGCCACGTGTCCTCTCTTGCCCAGCTCAGGGGCGTGCCACGTGTTGCCGCCTCAGTGGCCCGCGCCAAAGCCATTCACGGGAAGCTGAGGGCGCTAGACGCGGCCCTGCACGCTCTGCTGGGTGACAGCTGGCGCAGCGGGATTGGTCGGGCGGGGAGGGGAGGGAGCAGGAGGGGAAGAGGCGCGGGGGGAGCGGTGGGGATGGGTGGAGATGGGGAGGGAGGGGTTGAGTGTGGTGGGGCGGGGTGGGGAGCGGTGACGGACGGTGGGCTGCGGAGGTCGATTGCTCGGCTGCTGGAGGAGGCGTTGCAGCAAACGGACCCTCAGAAAGTGCGTGTTTGTGTGTGAAGAGATAACTCCCGCTACTGGCAACACCAACCATGTGCAGAAGCATGAGTGCGGAGGAGGCAGAGGAGGCCCTCAGAGGCCCTGTGCTTGCCCCCTGCTCGTCCCGCCCGCTACTAACGAGTGTCTCCCTCTCTTTTCCTCCCATCCACCCATCCACTCTCCCTTCCAGACTGTCAACCCGTGGCTGCAAGAAAAGCTCGCTCCCACCACCACCACCAGCAACAACAGCAGCATGAGTGCGGAGGAGGCAGAGGAGGCCCTACGAGGCCCTGTGCTCGCCCCCTGCTCGTCCCGCCCTAACAAATCTTTCCCTCTCTCCCCTGAATCCATCCACTCTCCCTTCCAGACCGTCAATCAGTCGCTTCAAGAAAAGCTCGCTCCCCACACTGGCAGCACCAACAGCAGCAGTAGCATGAGCGCGGAGGAAGCAGAGGAGGCTGTGAGAGGCCCTGTGCTCGCCCCCTGCTCGTCCCTCCCGCCCCTAACAACTGTCTCCCTCTCCTCCCCATCTACCCATTCATCTTCATCCACTCTCCCTTCCAGACCGTCAATCAGTGGCTGCAAGAAAAGCTCGCTCCCTGCTCGTCCCCCTGCTCGTCTCCCTGCTCGTCCCCCTTACAAGTGACTCTCTCTCTCCCCCTTCGTCCATCCCTCCACTCTCCCTTCAGACCGTCAACCAGTGGCTGCAAGAAAAGCTCGCTCCCCACACTGGCAGCACCAGCAGCAGCAGCATGAGCGCGGAGGAAGCAGAGGAGGCTCTCAGAGGCCCTGTGCTCACCTCCTGCTCGTCCCGCCCGCCCCTGGCTGACGTCAGCAACAGCAGCGCGGCTACAGCCGGGGAGGAGGAGCAGGCGGAGCCGCTGCTACAGCTGCAGGTGAGGGGGAGAGACAATGAGGGGTGGAAGGTTAGGGGAGGAAGGTTAGGGGTGGGACACTGGCAGGTGAGGGATGGAAGGTTAGGGGTGGGACACTGGCAGGTGAGGGATGGAAGGTTAGGGGTGGGACACTGGCAGGACGGGGAGATGAGGCACAGACGACTTGTGTATGGGGAGGAGGAGCAGGCGGAGCCGCTGCTACAGCTGCAGGTGAGGGGTGGAAGGTTAGGGGTGGGACACTGGCAGGTGAGGGGTGGAAGATTAGGGGTGGGACACTGGCAGGACGGGGAGATGAGGCACACGCCCTCCTGCCCCTCTGCCCCTTACTGACCCCCTGCCCTCTGCCCCTTGCCCCTCTGCCCTGCCTGTGTGCTCCCTATGAAACCATAATCCATGCCCCATCTCCCCCCTCCAGGTGCAGTACAAGGCGAGGCTTCTCCATCTGAGTGACGAAGTTCGCTCTCTAAGAGCATCAGGCTTCCACACCCCGCATCACCTGCTCGCCTGCGCCCTCTCCGCCTCAGCTGCCGCCTCCTCCGCATCCACCATCTCCCCTCCTGCCCCTCTGCCCCTCCCTGAACCCCTGCCCTCTGCACCTTGCCCCTCTGCCCTGCCTGTCTGCTCCCTATGCCACCTCTCCCCCCACCAGGTGCAGTACAAGACAAGCCTGCTGCATCTGAGCGAGGAGGTCCGCACCCTTCGGGCGTCAGGCTTCCACATCCCGCACCACCTGCTCGCCTGCGCCCTCTCCGCCTCTGCTGCCGCCTCCTCCGCATCCACCATCTCACGAGCGCTCGAGAGCTTTGCTGATGTCAGCGCTGGCGTCAGCAAGGGCGTGCTGCCGCTGGTGGTGGCTTCGCGAGAAGCGGTGCTGGGGTTAATGCAGAGCGGTGAGTCGGCACAAGCGGTGCTGGGGTTAATGCAGAGCGGTGAGTCGGCACGCGGGTAAGGAAGCAATGGTGGGGGTACTGCAGTCTAGTGAGTGGGTGATGCAGTCCGGAAGCAAAAGCGTGCTGCCGCTGGTGGCGACGACAAGGAAAGCGATGCTGGGGATAATGCAGAGCGGTGAGACTTGATTGTAGAGCAGTAAGGGGGGGTTGGGGATAATGCAGAGCGGTGAGTCATTGCTGCGGAGTGGTAAGGGTGGATTGGGGATCATGCAGCAAGGGGTGGTTGGGGATAATGCAGAGCGGTAAGTGGTGGTTGGGGATAGTACAAAGCGGCGAGTCATAATTTAAAGGTGTGGGTAGAGAAGAGGGACGGTGGAAGATATATTTAGTCCCTCTGGTGAGGAAGAAAGAAGAATAGAGAATGGGTTGTGGTGTAGGAGGAGGAAGAGGAGGACGAGCTTGCAGTGTGCCTGTGGGGTGCTGTCGTGCCGAGGAGGGAACTGGGTGTGTGTTTGAGTCAGCCACCCATCTCAACCACTCCGTTGTCCCCTGACTTCCCCTCATGTTCCCCCTTGCTTTCCCCGATTTCACCTCACCATTGGCCACCGTTGCAGGTCAGGGAGTGGTGTGGGAGGAGGAGGGAGCAGGACGAGTTGGCGGTGTGCCTGTGGGTTGCCGTGGGGGGAAGCTTGGCGTATGAGTCTCCCCTTCCACTCCAATGTCTATTGCGGGATAAGAGACGACTTTTGACGTGCCTCAAATGCCGTGGGGGGAACTTGGCGCATGAGTCTCCCCTTCCACTCCATCGTCTCCTGACTTCCCCTCATGTTACCCTTGGTTCCCCTACTGCCCGCACTGCAGGCCAGGGCGTTGTGTGGGAGGAGGAGGACGAGTTGCAGTGTGCCTGTGGGATGCAGAGGAGGGAACTTGGTGTTTGAGCCTGTTACCCATCTCAACCACTCCTTTGTCCTCTGGCTTCCCTTCATGGTCCCCCTTGCTTCTCCCAATTCCCCCCCCCCTGCAGGTGGAAGTGTGGTGTGGGAGGAGGAGGACGAGGTGGATGAGTTCGCCGTGTGCCTGTGGGATGCAGTGGAGGCGTTTTCATCTGCAGCTGCTGCGGCCAAGGAGAGGCATGAGGCGGCATGGCAGTGCCTTGAGCAGATTCGTTCGTGTGCCTATAAGGTGAGTGTGTGTGCCGGTGGTTGGATTGGAGGGTGTTTGCTTGTAAGGCGTGTGCCTGTGGGATGCTGTGGAGGCGTTTTCAGCCGCTGCTGCTGCCGGCAAGGACAGGCACGAGGCGGCATAGCAGTGCCTTAAGCGTGTCCGATCGTGTGCTGGTGGGAGCTTACAGCAGCTAAGTCTATAAGGTGAGAGCCTCTAAGCCCGCTCTGCCACTGCTGCTGCTAAGGTCAAGGAGAGGCATGACGCTGCATGGCATTGCCGAAACCATGAGCTTGCTCTAAAGAGTTTTGTCTAATAGCACAAAGCGTCTAACCTTAATGTTTTCTCCGTCCTCTTTTTTTTCCTCCATCCCCTCTCACCGAATCAGGACCTGCCAACTCATCTCCGCCAGCTGGCGCACGCGGTAATTGCAGCGATCTCCCGGCCGCCTTACCCGGCTGCCATGTCAGCTGCCACGTCAGCAGTGTGGCAGCATGAGGTGGCTGCCACGTGGGCCGCCCCGCTGCTGATGCAAGCACAGGCGGCTCTGCAGCAGAAGCTGACGTCAGCGCTCTGCTGCTGGCTGAAGAAATGGAAGGACCTGATTGGAGGAGACTCTCCTGCTGCTACAGCTGCTGCTACAGCCGCCACGGGTGCCAAATCTGCTACAGCTTCTGCTGCTGCTGCTGCGGCGGCAGCGGCTGCTAGGGTTAATGAGGTCTCTAAGGGATCCCCTGAGCGTGTAGGGGGTCTGCAGGTGGTGGTGAGAGAGATTGAGGCTGTGCTTTCACTGCACGGGCCCTCTGGTGTAGTGAAGGAACGAGCTGGTGGAGGAGCCGACGCAGCAGGGGCGGCAGGAGCGGCAGGGGCGGCAGGAGTAGTGGGAGGAGATTTGAATGGCGGGGATGGGAGCGAGACTGAGTCGTTTGTGCTGCAGCTTCTGCAGGAGCAGATGGGGATGCTGACGCACCGAGTGGCTGTGAGGGGGTCAAACGCAGGGGCGGTTAGAGTGGAAGGAGGAGGAGCGAGTGGCAGGATGGAGGTGGAGGTACAGCCTCCTCTCTGCGAGTCTCAGCAGCGGCTCCAGGACTGTGTTCAGCTGTTGCTCGCTCCCGCTCTCTCTGCTGCTGCAGAGGCCAATAGCGTCCTCTCCTCCGCCTCTGCGGCTTTCTTGCTCCCTCCCACTCCCTCGAATGGTCCCTCTGCTGCTGCTGAAGCCAGCAGCATGCACTCATCCGCCTCTGCTGCCCTGCATCCCATGGCTGCTGGTAACTTCAGTGACGTCAGCAGCAGCGACAGCATGGGTAGCTATCACAGCACTGCAAGGGGCGGGGCTAGTGTGGGCAGTCTGTTAGTAGTGAGCTGTGTGGTTCCGGCTCGGCTGGAGGCGTGTGCGTATGGGGTGGTGGATGCAGTGGTTGGGGCGGCTGAGGGGTGGGTGGGCGAGTGGAGGGTGAGAGTGGCACAGGCGGAAGGGAAGATGGAGAGATGCGCCCGTGCTGCTGCTGCTGCTGCTGTAGCTGCTGCTGCTGCTGCTGCTGCCCCAGCTGCTGTTAGCGAAAGTTCCAACACCTCCCTTCCCCCGCCTTCGACTGAACTCTGGCGTTCCCTTATGAACGAAATTCAGCAGGTTCGTAACCAGCTGGCTGCCAAACCTGCAGTGGTTAGGTTCGGCACAGCTGACCGAACCTCGCTCTTAGCCTTGGACGCAGGCTCGGTGAGGGAGGCACTGGTGGGTCGGTGTGAGGCTTGGATTCGGGCGGCTGAGGAGGATATAGAAGGCAGGGCGGTTCGGGGTTGTAGAGAGGCGATTAAAGAGGTATCTGAGCTGAAGAAACTACTGGAGTTGATTAAGAGGGAGGCAGAGGGGGAACTTATGAGTAGAGATAGGGAACAGAGGCTCGGGCGAGTGAGAGAGGGAGAGGAGGGTGAGGAGGGGGAGCAGGGAGAGGAGGAACAGGAGGGAGAGAAGGGAGCGGAGAACAAGGCAGCTATGGGTAATGGTGGTGCGGATAAGGGTGAAGGATTGAGTGGGGATGTGCGGAGGCTGGTAGAGCATCTAGAGAGAGTGAGGGAGGCGGAGAGGAGGGTAGGAGAGGTGAGTGATGGAGTGGAGAAACTCAGGCCGTTAGTAGAGGCGGCTGTTTCTAAGGGAGGGGGAAGTGGCAAGGGGAAAAGGAGCACTAGCAGCAGCAGCAGCGGTGGTAGGAGCAGTAGTGCCGGGGTTGGGATGGCGCTGGTACAGGCAAGCTGGAAAGAGCTGGAGAAGGAGTGGGGAGAATTGGAATGGGCAAGAAAGGCTGTATTGGGAGGGAGAAAGGCAGGAGCAGAAGCAGCACGAAAGGGAGTAGAAGCTGCAGCAGGAGAATCCCCCAGCGGGATAGTTTTCCTCCAGGGGCTTGTGAGCATGCAGGTGTTGAGTGCGGTGCAGGTGCATGTGGGGGAGGTGGGGAGGCGTATGGAGGAGCTTGAGACGTGGTGGGACGCTGCTGCTCCTACCAGTGCGGATTGCTCTCGAGGCAGGGCTGCTGGGGCGCTGGTGCAGTGCGCACGCTTAGTGGGGCAGCTTAAAACGAGGATAGAGCTCATGAGGAGGGCGATTGGGCTGGTGGGAGGGGCGGGGGCGGGGAGGAGGAGGAGGAGGAGGAGGAGGTGGGGAGAGTGGAGGGGAGGTTAGAGAGGGTGGTTGCAGAGGGGGAGGAGATGCAGCGTATGTGGCTGTTGATTAATCATCTTTTGGATGTTATTGCCTCTGTGGAGGGGATTAGGGTTGCGGATTTCAACCCTGAATCGGACTTAACCCCTCTGCACTCCGCCTTGAGCGACGTGAACCAGGAGGAAGAGGTATTCGGGCAGCACGGTGCGTTCCGGGCAGTTCAATCGGCTGCCCGGAAACTAATTGCGAGCCTAGGTCTGGTGTCGAAGCTAGTTAAAGCCTCGCTGCAAGAGGCCCATTGGAGAGCCCTCGCCCGAGCATTGGGGTTCCAAGCCAAGGGCGGGCTCGGCGCCGGAGGTACCCTGCAGGTTCGGGATCTGGTTCGGGCGCTGGGAGGCTTGGAGGGTCGGGCGGCAGCGGAGCAGGTTTTATCTGCCGTCCAGGGGGAGGTGGCATTGAGACAGTTTATGGATAAGGTTGAAAAGGAGTGGGGCGAGCAGGAGTGGGCTTTTAAGGGGTTTAGAGACAAGTGGAAAATCGTGGGGAATTTGGGGGTGGTTGGGGAAATGGTGCTAGAGCATTTGAGTATGCTTGGAGCGATGAAGCAGTCTCCCTTCTTCCCTCCGTTTAGAGAGGCTGTGAGGGAGTGGGAGGGGCGACTGGGGCAGCTGAGTGAGCTGGTGGATGCGCTAGCAGACGCGCAGTCCAAGTGGGTCCGTTTGGAAGCACTCATGACGTCACCTGCCGTCCGGTCGATGCTACCCGACACGCACCGCGCCTTCCACGAAGCTTCCCTCCCGTTCACGGAGTTCCTGGGATCGCTCGCCGCCCGCCCTCTCGCGATCGACCTGGAGGGACTTGCGGACGAGGACGACGGAGCCGGGCGGCAGGTTTTGGCGGTTTGTGCGGAGGTGTTTGGGCGGGTGCTTTTGGAGGTTCAGGCACATCTGGACAAGCAGAGGCGGATGCTGCCAAGGCTGTACTTCCTGGGGGATGACGATCTGTTACAGCTCATCTCTGCTTCGCCCTCTGATTTATCTGCGGTATGTTTCTGTGTGGGCACGAAAATATGTGTACGTGTATGTCAAGTGAGTGTGCGAGTTGCCGCATCTGGACAAGCAGAGGCGGATGCTGCCAAGGCTCTACTTTCTCAGGGATGACGATCTGCTGCAGCTCATTTCTGCGTCCCCCACAGACCTCTCTGCTGTGAGTTGAATATTGGGTTTCATGTGTATGACGAGGGCTACCAAAGCTGTACTTCCTGGGGGATGACGATCTGCTGCAGCTCATCTCCGCCTCGCCCTCAGACCTGTCTGCGGTACGCATTGGTTCACTTGCATGCATGTCTCTCTGGGTCAGTTATGTGCATGTCTAGGCGGATGCTGCCAAGGCTCTACTTTCTCAGGGATGACGATCTGCTGCAGCTCATCTCTGCATCGCCTTTGGACCTCTCTGTGGTAAGTATATGTGTCTGTGTATGTGTGCACGGATGCTGCCGAGGCTGTACTTCCTGGGAGACGATGATCTGCTGCAGCTCATCTCCGCCTCGCCTTCGGATCTATCTGCTGTAAGTCTGATTATGAATGAAGTGTCACTTCTGAGTCGACTCAAAAGACAAGCAGAGGCGGATGCTGCCGAGGCTGTACTTCCTGGGCGATGACGACCTGCTGCAGCTCATATCCGCATCACCATCAGACCTCTCTGCTGTACGTTTATGTGCATGTGTCTGTGTATGTGTATGTGTATGTGCGTATGATATGGTTTATGAGTGTGCGGATGCTGCCAAGGCTGTACTTCCTTGGAGACAACCATCTGCTGCAGCTCATGTCTGCCGACCTCTCTGCGGTAAGTAGATGTGTCTTTGTCTGTGTCTGTGCATATGTATGTGTGTGTGTGTGTGTGTGTGTGTGTGTGTGTGTGTGTGTGTGTGTGTGTGTATGTGTATGTGTATGTGTATGTGTGTGTGATATGGTTTATGTGTGTGCGGATGCTGCCAAGGCTGTACTTCCTTGGAGACAACCATCTGCTGCAGCTCATGTCTGCCAACCTCTCTGCGGTAAGTAGATGTGTCTGTGTCTGTGTCTGTGCATATGTATGTGTGTGTGTGTGTGTGTGTGTGTGTGTGTGTGTGTGTGTGTGTGTGTGTGTGTGTATGTGTGTGTGTATGTGTATGTGTGTGTGATATAGTTTATGTGTGTGCGGATGCTGCCAAGGATGTACTTTCTCAGGAACGACCATCTGCTGCAGGCAGCTCATCTCTGCATTGCCCTCAGACCTCTCTGCTGTAAGTTTGAGTTTGGGGTTTCACTTTTGAGTCAGCTTAAAAGACAAGCAGAGGAGGATGCTGCCGAGGCTGTACTTTCTGCGGGATGATGACCTGCTCCAGCTCATATCCGCATCATTTTTGGGGCGCCTCAAAAGTCTGGGGGATGATGTGATGACCTGCTCCAGCTCATATCCGCATCACCTTCGGATCTCTCTGCTGTACGTATATGTGTCTCTGTATGTGTATGTGTGTGTGATATGGTTTATGTATGTGCGTATGCTGCCGAGGCTGCACTTTTGGGGGGATGACGATCTGCTGCTGCAGCTCATGTCTGCATTGTCGTCAGGCCTCGCTGCTGTATGTTTCTGCGTGCCGGTTCGTTCATGTGTATGTGTGTGTGTGTGATTTGGTGTACGTGTAAGTGTATGCCCGAATGGATGTCGTTTCTGGGAATGACAATCCACTCCCTTTTTCCCCGCTCTCTCTCCCTGTCCCCTGTTCTCCTGCTTCAGGTGCACGTGCACATTCGCAAGCTCTCCACTGCAGTCTCATGGTCCCCTCCCATCCTCCCTCCATTCCCCTTTTCCCCCTCTCTCCCCCTCTCCCCTCTCCCCCTTTCTCCCCTCTTCACTCTTTTCCCATGTCAGGTACACGTGCACATTCGCAAGCTCTTCACAGCAGTCTCAGGCATTGAAGTATCGGCAGTCTCTGATACCATTTTGCCAGAAAAGAGTACAGCAGAGGATGTAGTGAAGTTTGCACCTTCAGGGGACGCAGGGAAGAGAGTATTTATCACCGCAGCTCTTTCCGACGGGGAGCGGCTCGTGCTGCACCAACCAGTGGAGCTTGCGGAAGGTGCTGCCACGTCAGCGAGTGCCACGTCAGCGGATGCCACGTCAGCGGGTGCCACGTCAGCGGAAGGACAGAAGCCAGCAGGAGCCACCAAGTGGCTGCTGGATCTCGACATGGCGCTGCGGACGACTCTGAGCGACCTGGTTGTGTCAGCGGTCGCTGAGCTGGCGGCGTGTGATTGGCTGTCGACTGCTGCGGCTGGGAAGAGGGAGAAGAGCAAATGCAGCGGGAAGGAGGGAAGTGGCGGCGGAGTGAGGAGGAGTGGAGTGAGGATGGGCGGTAGCAGCAGGAGGAATGGAGGAAGGTTCCTCGAGTGGCTGGGGAAGCTGCCTTTGCAGCCGGCGCTGCTAGCTCTTCAAGTGAGCTGGACTGCTCTGGTTGAAGGGATTTTGGCAGGCGAGGAACGGGAGGTAGATGAGCAAGGGGTGCAAGTGAGGGGTGGAAAGGAAGCAGGGCTGGAGGCTCTGGTGGTGGGGCTGGAGGGGCTTCTGCAGTGGCTGGCACGTGCCGTGAGGGAGCGGAGAGAGCTGGCTAGGAAAGCAGCGGGGGCAGGAGGAGGAGGAGCAGGCAGAGCAGCAGGGGGAGCAGGGGGAGTAGGAGAGGGGGCAGGTGGCGAGGAGGGGAGGTTGATGGAGGCCAAGTGTGAGGCGGTGATTACTGTGTTGGTTCACCTGCTGGAGAGCAGTAAGGCGCTGCTGCTGGAGCAGCAGGAGGAGCAGGCACGGGCAGAGAAGGAGGAGGAGGAGGATAAGGAGAATATGGAGTGTGCAGGGCTTCAGCAGAAGCAGAAGCAGAAGCGGAAGGAGAGGAAGCAACACGGGCTCTCCCTCTCCTCCTTTGCCTGGCGAAAATGCCTCCGATACTACCTCGACCCTTCCCTCCCTCCCCTCCACCGCCTCTCTGTTCAAATCGCAGACGCCTCTTTCACCTACGGGTTTGAATACTCTGGCTGTACTCCCTCCCTCGTCCGCACCTCCCTCACTGACCGCTGCTTCCTCGCACTTTCCCAGGCGCTCTGGCACGGCCAGGGCAGCGCTCTGATTGGTCCAGCTGGCACGGGGAAGACGGAGACGGTCAAGGCGCTCGGGCGGCAGCTCGGGCGGCCGGTTTTGGCGTTATCTTGCGATAGGAGCTTTGACAGTGCGGCGGTGGGGCGGGTTTTGGAGGGAGTGGCGAGGCTGGGCGCGTGGGGGTGCATGGACGAGTTCAACCGGTTGGACGAGAGTACAATGTCTGCGATCTCGCAGCACCTGGTGGCGATTCAGGGCGCGCTGAGGGAGGGACGGAGAGAGGCCGTGCTGGCTGGGACTGCCGTGCCCGTGCACCCTGCCACTGGTGAGTGGGCGTGGGTGGGTGTGTGTGTGTGCACCCTACTACTGGTGAGTGGGCGTCGGGGGATGGGGGAAACAGGGTGGGGGTGCATGGACGAGTTCAACAGGTTGGACGAGAGTACAATGTCTGCGATTTCGCAACATTTGGTGGCGATTCAGGGCGCGCTGAGGGAAGGAAGGAGGGAAGCCGTGCTGGCTGGGACTACTGTGCCCGTGCACCCTGCCACTGGTGAGTGGGCGTGGGTGGGTATGTGTGTGTGCACCCTGCCACTGGTGAGTGGGTGTGGGTGGGTGTGTGTGTGTGCACCCTGCCACTGGTGAGTGGGTGTGGGGGGATGGGGGGAACAGGGTCGGGGTGCATGGATGAGTGGAACAGGTTGGACGAGTGTACAATGTCGGCTATCTCACAACATCTGGTGGCGATTCAGTGCGCGCTGAGGGAGGGACTGCCGTGCCCGTGCACCGTGCTACTGGTGGGTGGGCGTGGGTGGGTGGGTGTATGTGTGTGTGTGTGCACCCTGCTACTGGTGAGTGGGTGTGGGGTGTTGTTCCTTGGTTGTTGTTGCTCTATGATGCCATGTGTGGCTGTGTTGTGCTGTGATGTGTGCTGTGATGTGTGCTGTGATGTGTGCTGTGATGTGTGTGTGGATAAGGGTGCTGTGATGTGTGCTGTGATGTGTGCTGTGATGTGTGCTGTGATGTGTGCTGTGATGTGTGCTGTGATGTGTGCTTGGATGAGGGAAGGCAGGAGGGAGGCGGTGCTGGCTGGGACTGCTGTGCTCGTGCACCCTGCCACTGGTGAGTGCGCGGATATTCTTCTGCTGTTGTGTGTGGACTGCTGTGTGTGCTCTGTGAGACTGTGGCGATTTGCACTCATCCTTCCACTTTACCCCATTCCCTTACTCGCTCGCGCCTTTTCGACTCCCTCCCAGGCATATTCGTGACGCTCAACCCGCGCTATGCAGGCAGGGACCATGCCCTTTCCGTCACTAACCCATACGCACCATTCTCCACCCCCTCCCTTCATCTCCCTCCCAGGCATATTCGTGACGCTCAACCCGCGCTATGCAGGCAGGGACCACCTGCCTGAGAGCCTGTCTGCTCTGCTGCGACTTGTCACCATCAGCACCCCTGACCCCTTTCCCTTGCCTCCCCACCCACCCACTATCCCTCCCCCACCTGTCACTGCCTCCCCCTCTCCCAGGCAGGCATATTCGTGACGCTCAACCCGCGCTATGCAGGCAGGGACCATCTGTCTGCTGCGCCCTCTCACAGTCGCCACCCCTCATGCACCTTCTTCCCTCCTAACCCACCCCCTTTCCCTCCCCCTCCTGCATCTGTCTCCCCGTTCCCAGGCATATTCGTGACGCTCAACCCGCGCTATGCAGGCAGGGACCACCTGCCCGAGAGACTGACAGCTGACCTTCGAGTCACCCCACAACTGCCTCTCACCCTACTGTCCCTTTCCCTTCCTCATCTCTTACTCCCTCCCAGGTATATTCGTGACGCTCAACCCGCGCTATGCAGGCAGGGACCATCTGCCTGAGAGCCTGTCCGCCCTCCTGCGTCCTCTGACAGTCGCCGTCCCTGATGCATGCGCCATCGCCCATGTGACTCTGCTGTCGTGTGGGTTCTCGCATGCGGAGAGGCTGGCTGACGCTGCCACCCGCATATTCCAGGTATGGCTCGTGTGGGTGTGTGCATACACATGTACAAACACAGGAATGCACAGAAAGTGAACATCCCTGGTGCATGCGCCATCACCCGTGTGACTCTGATGTCGTGTGGATTCTCGCATGCTGAAAGGCTGGCTGATTCTGCCACTCGAATCTTCCAGGAGTGTGTGAATGCACAAGTACACGCACTCTGACAAGCACATGAACGCACTCATACATTCAGAGTCTCCCTCTTGTGATGCATGCGCCATCGCCCATGTGACTCCGCTGTCGTGCGGGTATTCGCATGCGGAGAGGCTGGCTGATGCTGCAACTCGCATCCTCCAGGTATGGCTGGTGCTGGTGCTCGTGCTCGTGCTCGTGCTCATGCTGGTGCTGGTGCTGGTGCTCGTGCTGGTGCTGGTGCTCGTGCTCGTGCTCGTGCTCGTGCTCGTGCTGGTGCTGGTGCTGGTGCTGGTGGTTGTGTGTCCATGCTTCGCCCCCATTTCCTTCCTCCTGGTCCTCTGTGGTTGCCAGTTCCTTTTCCAGCAGTCAGAGCAGTGCTTGGCCCCCCAACCCCAGTACGACTTCAGCCTCAGAGCGCTCAAAGCCACTCTTGAATCTGCTAGGCCACACTCATTCCCTTCCTCCCTACTCGTCCCCTTGGCCTGCCCTTTCTGTCTCCAGCGGTCAGAGCAGTGCTTGGACCCCCCACCCCAGTACGACTTCAGCCTCAGAGCGCTTAAAGACACTCTTGACTCCCCCATACTTGTTTCCCCTTGAAACTCTTCTTCATCCCGCCCACACCTTTTTTTTCTTCCTCCAGGAGTCCGAGCAGTGCTTGGCCCCCCAGCCTCAGTACGACTTCAGTCAGAGAGCGCTCAAAGCAGCTCTGAGATCTTCTCTCACTCTCTCATTTCGCTCCTTCCTCGTCATCCCTCTTGTCTACCTTGCCCCGCAGGAGTCTGAGGAATGCTTGGACCCCCAGCCTCAGTACGATTTCAGTCTGAGAGCGCTCAAAGCAGCTCTGAAATCTGCTAGGTCTGTTATGCTGGCGCAGACAGAATTGGAGGGGGGTGCGAGTGAGAATGAGGGTAAGGAGAGGAAAGAGGAAGTGGAAGAAGGTGCGAGTGAGAATGAGAGCAAGGGGATGAGCGAGGTGGTGGAAGGGGGTGCGATTGAGGGGGAAAAGGAAAGGAGGGAAAGTGGTATGGAGGAGGTGTGTGAGAGAGAGATGGAGGTGAAGGGTGAGGAGGGTAGGGAGGAGGGATGTGTGGAAGAGGAGGAGGGGGGGAGTGTGAGATCAGAGGAGAAAGAGGAGTTTTACGAGGCAGAGGATGGGGAGCAAGGGGGGGATGAAGAGGGGAAGGAGGAGGGGAGGCAGGAAGAGGGGGAGGAGGAGGAGGAGGAGGAGGAGGAGGAGAAGGAGGAGGAGGAGGAGGAAGGGGAGGAGCCGGAGGTGAGAGAGGAGGTGTTGCAGGTGGAAGAAACAGAGGAGGGAGAAGGGGACGGAGAGGAGGACATAGTAGAGGAGGTAAAGGAGGAGGTAGGGGCGGAAGAGGAGGAAGAGGAGGAGGAGGAAGAGGACGAAGAGGCCCACCGTGTGTCGAGATGGCCGTTGGAGTCCCGATCCCTAGTCCAGGGCATTTTCGGCCAGCTGGCAGCCAAGCTGGCACCTGCTGACGTGGCAACCTTCCGGGAGGTGGTTTCCCGGAACCTTCCGGACGTGGCTGTGGAGGAGATGGGCGACGCTGAGCTGACAGCGGCGGTGGAGGTGGTGTGTGAGAGGGAGGGGTACGTGGCGAGCTGTGATTGGACGAGGAAGGTGCTGCAGATGGCGAGGTTGATGGGGCTGCATCAGGGGATCATGCTGGTGGGGCCGCCTGCTGGGAAGACCACGGCCTGGAGAGGTGAGAAGGGGTGAAGATGGGTGGAGATGGGTTGGGAGGGGTGATGATGGGACGGCGATGGGTGGTAAGGGGTGAGGAGGGATGATGAGACGTGAGGACGAGAGGGATGGGTCTGCATTAGGGGATCATGCTGGTGGGGCCGCCTGCTGGGAAGACCACTGCTTGGAGAGGTGAGGATGGGTGAAGAGCGGTGATGCGGGATGAAGGTGGGTTAGGTAGGGGAATAATAGGTTGAGGATGGGTAGAAAGGGATGAGGAGGGATGGTGATGGCGAGGCTGGTGGTGAGGCTGATGGGGCTGCATCAGGGGATCATGCTGGTGGGGCCGCCTTCTGGGAAGACCACTGCTTGGAGAGGTGAGGAGCGGTGAAGAAGCATGGAGATGGGTGATGATGTTGCGGGGATGAGCGGAAAGGGGTGTCTGTGACAGTGGTGGATCCCAGAGAGTCTGTCCAAGGCACCACCCTCTCCCAAGCAGGCGCTCTTTGGGGGCGTTGAGGCAACCACCCTCTCCTTCTTCTCCCCCATTCTCTCCTCCCCGCCTCCAGTGCTGCACAAGGCCCTGGAGGCAACGAAAGGGTCGCAGGTGTCGGTGACAGTGGTGGATCCTAAGAGTCTGTCGCTCCCATTCCCGCCTCCCCTTCTTGCAGTGCTGCGCAAGGCCTTGGAGGCATCGCAAGGCGTGCAAGTATCCGTGACAGTGGTGGATCCCAAGAGTCTGTCCAAGGAGGCGCTGTTTGGGAGTGTGGAAGCCACCACGCGGGAGTGGAGTGGCAGGACGGCGTGTTCACCCAAGCCTCTACTCTCTACCCCCTCCCTACCCTCTTCTCTTCCTCCCCTTCCTACCCTTTCACCCCTGTCTGCAGTGCTGCGTGAGGCCTTACAGACATCGCAAGGCGTGCAGGTGTCCGTGACAGTGGTGGATCCCAAGAGTCTGTCCAAAGAGGCGCTGTTTGGGAGCGTGGAAGCCACCACGCGGGAGTGGCAGGACGGCGTGTTCACCCGGGCTTTAAGGGCCGTCGTGCGAGAGTATGAGGAGGAGAGGGAGCGGGAGACAGGGAGAGATGGGGTGGCGGAGGGGGTGGAAGAAGAGGAAACGGAGGGCGATAGGGAGAGGAGGGAAGGGATGGAAGGGGAAGGGGATGAGGGCGATGGAGGAGGGGAGATGCGGCAAAGAACAGGAGGGAATGCGGGGAGGGGCGTGGAGTGGCGGCGGCGGCACTGGTTTGTGTTTGATGGGGAGGTGGACCCCATTTGGATAGAGACTCTCAACTCACTGCTGGATGATAACAAGGTGAGAGGGCGTACCCATTGCCTTGGGCTGCATGAAAGGGCAATGCAGGGAGGGGCGACACAAGGAGGGAAGATAAGGGGAGGCGGCGGCACTGGTTTGTGTTTGATGGGGAGGTGGACCCCATTTGGATTGAGACACTCAACTCGCTGCTGGATGACAATAAGGTGGGCAATGTGGGAATGATGCACAGAGCGGGTAGGCGTGAAGGGATAACAGGGGGAGGGGTGACACAAGGATTGGTTAGGAGGCAGTAATGGTACTGGTTTGTGTTTGATGGCGAGGTGGACCTTATTTGGATTGAGACGCTCAACTCGCTGCTGGATGACAATAAGGTGAGACAGCGAGGCAAGGGTGGGGTAGGGTGAGGCAAGGGTGGGGTAGGGTGAGGCAAGGGTGGGGTAGGGTGAGGCAAGGGTGGGGTAGGGTGAGGCAAGGGTGGGGTAGGGTGAGGCAAGGGTGGGGTAGGGTGAGGCAAGGGTGGGGTAGGGTGAGGCAAGGGTGGGGTAGGGTGAGGCAAGGGTGGAGTAGGGTGAGGCAAGGGTGGGGTAGGGTGAGGCAAGGGTGGGGTAGGGTGAGGCAAGGGTGGGGTAGGGCGAGGCTGAACTGTCATGACTCTGCCTGCCTACAGGCGAACGCCTCTCGCTCCTCCCCCACATGGACTGCATATGCGAATGCCCCTCTTTTGGCCACGCCACTATACCCCTCTGCGCCCCTCCCCTCCCCTTTACATTCAGGTTATGACTCTACCCACAGGAGAGCGCCTGCCTCTCCTACCTCACATGCACTGCATATTCGAGTGCCCCTCCATCTCACCCACAACACTCTGCATTCTGCCCCCCTCTCCCACGCTCCCCACCCCGTCTGCCCTCCCCTGCCACCCATCAGGTCATGACTCTACCCACAGGAGAACGCCTGCCCCTCCTCCCCCACATGCACTGCATCTTCGAATGCCCCTCTCTCGCTCACGCCACTCCCGCCACCATCTCTCGTCTCGGAGTGGTCTGCTTCCCCCACTCCCTCCTCTCCCTCCCCATGCTCCTCCACCGCTTCCGCTTCCTCCTCCCCCCCATGCCCTTCCCCCCACCCTCCTCCTCCCCGTCCTCTTCATCTCTTTCCCCTCTCCCTCCCTCTCTCTCCACCACAACAACACCTGCACCAGCTACCCCCGCTACCACCACCACCACTACTCTCTCTTCGTCCCACTCCTCCCACTCCTCCCACTCCTACCACTCCTCCCACTCCTCCCACTCCTCCCTCACCTCCTCACTCTTCTCCGCGCCTCTCTTCCTCCCCTCGCGCCTCTCCCTCGGGATTGACGCGCCAGACGAGCATCTGGAGCTGCTGCCGCCTGGCCTGCCACAGCCGCTGCTACAGCCGGTGCTGGCTGTGGCGCTGGCGGCGCTACAGCCGGGCGGGCTGCTGCAGCAGGCTCTAGAGGCTGCTGCTGGTGTCAGTGGCGCTGGTACTGGTGCTACTGGTGCCAATGCTGCCAGCGCTGCCTGTGCTACAGCCGTTACAGCTGCAGGTTCGGCCGAGGCAGATTCCATTCCCTTTGATTCCATGCGTGCCCTTCGCTCGGTGTTCTTGTACTATTGCTACCGAACCTCGGACCTCTGCCGAACCTCCGCTTCCCAAGCCACTCCGAAGAATGATGCGCTTGAAACGGCTGGTGTGCGGAGCGGTGGGGGAGGGGTGAAGGGAGGTGCGAATCGGTCTATTGCGGTGGTGGGGAGATTTACCAGGAAAGCAATGGTAGAGGCAATCATGGCAGGGGTTGCAGGGGGAATGGATGCTACCTCTCGCTCTGCCTTTGCAGACCGATTAGCTTGTGTTTTGGCGTCTGAAGGTGGGGGAAACGATGAGGTGGCATGCCGTGCCACGTCAGAGCAGCTGCTGAGCTGTTTCGCTGACGTGGCGAGCGGCCATTGGAAGCCGTGGGAGGCGGCTCTGCCTGGATTGGCTGATGCTGATGCTGCTGTTGGGGGGTGCTTCGGGGATGAGGAGGAGGTGGAAGAGGGAGAGGAGGGAAGTGAGGAGGAAGAGGAGAGGAGTATGAGCTACAGAAGGAGTAATTCTGTGTCTGGTCGGAGCAATGGCAGTATGGGTGTTACAAAGCAGGTTGGTAGACAGGCGAAGGGTGCAGCTGGAAAGGCAGGAAGAGAAGGAAGGGGAGGATCAGGAGGGGTAAGAGGAGCAGGAGGAGCAGGAGCAGCAACAGGAGCAGCAGGTGCAGGAGTAGTGGCAGGAGCAGGAGGGGGAGGAGTAGACTCAACCACGGTTATCCCCACAGCAGAGACAGAGCGGTTGGGTGCGGTGATCAGGGCCAGTCTCGCCCAATCACAGCCCATCCTGCTCTGTGGCCCACCTGGGAGTGGGAAGACTCTCGCGCTGACAGCTGTCGCGCAGGCATTGGCTACTGCTGGCGCTGACGAGGCACAGGCTGCTGCTGCCGCCGCTGCTGCTGCAGCTGGCGCTGCTGGTGGTGCTGGTGCTGGCAGTGCTGGTAGTGCTGGTGTTGGTGGTGCTGGTGGTGGGGTTGGAATGGGGACGCAGCAGCGAAAGGAGAAGCTTTCGCAGAAGCAGCAAGAAGGGAGCAAGCAATCGGCAGAGGCCGAGGTGGCGGCAGTGGCAGGGCCAAAGCTCCACGTGGCAGCTTTCAATTTGTCACTGTCGACGTCTCCCGAGTCGTTTATCGCTGAGCTGGAGCAGCACTGCCGCTACGTCAAGCTCCCTGCTGGTGGTGCTCGTGGTGCTGGTGTTGGTGTTGGTGGTGCTTCTGGTGCTGCTGCTGCTGCTGCCGGTGTTGGTGTTGGTGCTGCTGGTGGGTCACACGAAACAGCAGCAGCAGCAGCAGCAGCAGCAGGAGTGGTTTCGACATCAGCATCAGCAGTGGCAGCAGCAGCCGCCACTTCCAGTGTTAACTGGGCGCTGGAGCCTAAGGACCCAGTACCAGCGGACGGCCGTCTGCTGCTATTGTTAGATGAGGTGAATCTCCCCGCCCCTGACGCTTTTGGCACCATCCGCATGGCCGGCCTGCTTCGGCAGCTAGCGGAGCCGCAGCTGATTCCGCAGGCGGCGGGCGGGGTGGGCGGCGGTAGTGGGGAAAGCAGCAGGAATGGCGATACGCACGGCAGCAGCAGCAATAACGTTGGCAGTGGTGGTGGTGGTGGTGGTGCTGGCAGTGGTAGTAGCAGCAGCAGTGGAGGGAGCGGTGGGTATGCGTATGGGTTCTGGCACCCCAAGAGGCGCGTTTGGGTGCAACTGAGGCGGGTGTCATTTGCAGCCACTTGCAATCCGGCTTCAGACGTGGGCAGGCATGAACTGCCTGTACGCCTGACCAGGCATCTCACTGTTGCTCATGTTCCGTTTCCGTCCGGCGCGGCTCTTACGAGAATATACAGCACGTTTATAAGGGGGATATTGGCCCGGTACTGGCCTGGGGTGGCAGTGGAGGCACGGGGGAATCCTCAGGTGGTTTCTCAGGTGGATTCTCAGGTGGTTTCTCAGGTGGGCGCGTGCCTGGCAGCGGCGATGGTGGAGGTGTATGAGGAGTGTGGGGTGAGGTTCACTCGGGCAGTGCAGCAGCACTACGTGTGCAGTCCTAGGGAGCTTACCAGATGGACTAGAGGCATCCGATTCGCCCTGGTGCATGGGCAGAAAGGGGTTCAGAGGGGTGGAAAGGGAGACGGGGACGAGAGGGGGGAGAAGGGGGCGGTTGAGAGGGGTGAAAAGGGTGGAGTGAGTGGGAAGAGTGGTAAGGGGCGTATGGGTGCTGGTGGTGCGAGATTGGGTGGTGGTGTGGGGCTGGTTGGAGCAACAAGTGCACATACAGGCGTTGGCGGTGCGGCTATCATCGGTGGTGATGGGGAGGGCAACTGGGCGGCAAGGCTTGTCCTGTCATGGCTGCATGAGGGAATGCGCATCTGGTATGATAGGCTGGTGAGGGAGGAGGAGAGGCAGTGGACGGCGAAGCTGCTGCTGCGGGTGGCAACAGAAAAGATACTCCCGATGCTCGTGCCTCTTGTAGGGAACACTCTTGTAACGAGTACAGGGAATCCTGTAGCTGTTGCTGATGGAGTTTCTGATGGTGCTCCTGCTGTGCCTTTCTCGCTACCTGCCGACCCGAGCCGGTTGGTGTTTTCGTCGCTTCTGACGGGGCGGTACAAGCCGTGCGCGGTGAACCACCTGAAAAAGCACCTGAAGTGGGTCCTGACAGGGGAGGCCCCGGATGCCGCAGGAGGGGCAGGTGCCGGCCAGGTGAAACCAGGTGTTTCTTCAGGTGCTGGGGCAGCAGAAAAGGCCGGGGACAGGAGAGGAGGAGCAGGAAAGCGGGCGTCAAGCAGCAGGGCAGGAGAGATGGAGGAGGAAACTGGGAGGAGAGTATTGGAAGAATCGGAAGGATTGGGAGTGGAGAAGGGGGAGGAGGATGCAGTGGAGGTGCAAGCAGGGGAGGTGGTATTGACTGATGAGTTTGTGTGTGCGGTGGTGAGGGCAGCATCGGTGCTGCAGCAGCCCATGGGGCATTTGCTGCTGCTGGGTCCTCCTGCAACTGGGAAATCGACCGTTGCCAGGTGGGTGTGAAGCATCTGTTTGAGAGAGGGTGTGTGTGTGAGAGTTAGGGTCTGTGTGTGTGGTGGTGAGGGCGGCATCGGTGCTGCAGCAGCCCATGGGGCATCTGCTGCTGCTTGGTCCTCCTGCGACCGGGAAATCAACCATTGCCAGGTGGGTTTGGGGTTTGGGTTTAAGGATGGTTTGGGTCTAGTGTTCATTTTAGAAGTTAGAGCTTACTGATTGAGTGTATGTGCATGAGTTTGTGTGTGCGATGGTGAGGGCGGCATCGTTGCTGCAGCAGCCCATGGGGCAACTGCTGCTGCTTGGCCCTCCTGCCACTGGAAAGTCTACTGTTGCCAGGTGGGTGTGAAGTATTTCTGTTTGCTTGTGTGTGTGTAATCGCTGTGATGGGATTGGAGGAGGGGCAGGTGGCACGGCACTCCCTCCATGTGCTTCCTTTTGAGGCGCCTCAAAAGTCATTCCTGTTTGCTTGTGTGTGTGTGATCGCTGTGATGGGATTGGAGGAGGGGCGGGTGGCGTTCCCTCCATGTGCTTCCTTGGTTGCCCTCTCCACTTACCCACGGTGCCTTCCCAATTCTGCATGCAGATTTGCGATTGCTGCGACGGGATTGGTAGAGCTGCGGGTGGCGCTGCACGCAGGATCCGAGGTGCTTCTGTGGCTCCAACATTGAACCCTAAATGCATCCCTCTCCTCTCCTCCTCATAACCCTTGCTGGCCAATCACATGCTCGCAGATCCGCAATCGCTGCGACGGGATTGGTGGAGGTGCGGGTGGCGCTGCACGCGGGATTCGAGGAGCGCGAGCTGGACGGCCCGCTGGAGGAGGCGCTGCGGGCGGCGGGGTGCGACGGGCGGCGCGTTTGTCTTGTTCTGGAGGAGGCGCATCTGGTGGAGAGCGCTGTCTTGGAAAGGCTCAACTCGCTTCTCACGGGGGGGGACGTTCTTGGGCTGTTTGGAGCGGAAAAGCAGCAGGTGAGAGGGGGGGGTCGGGTGATGGTGGTACCATACAGCCAACAGACTTGAGTTCATTCAGAAGATGCCAAGCAGCGCATCTGGATGAGCAGTGCTTCTGGTGAAGAGCTCTGTTCTGGAGAGGTTCAACTCGCTTCTCATGGGGAGGGGAGGGGGGGGGGGGGGGGGGGGGGGAGGAAAGAGGTGGGGGTGTGTCGTTCTCGGGCTGTTTGGAGCGGAAAAGCAGCAGGTGAGAGGGGGGGGTCGGATGTCTGTACAGTAGAAGCATAGTAAGGCCAGCCGGACCCCAAACCTGAGAGGTGAGAGTGTTTTTGAGTCGACTCAAAAACGCTTTTGAGTCGACTCAAAAGGGTGTCTGTACAGTAGAAGCATAGTAAGGCCAGCCGGACCCCCAACCCGAGAGGTGAGGGTGTTTTTGAGACGTCTCAAAAACACCCTCACCTCACGCAGCAGGTGGAATCGGGTGTCTGTACAGTAGAAGCATAATAAGGCCAGCCGGACCCCAAACCCGAAACCCTAAATCCTGAACCTGGACTCTGAACCCTCTGCTGAATCCCTCTCTGAACCCCTCTTTCCCTGCAGGAGCTGCTTGAATCCCTCCGGCAGCGAGGGGAGGGAGAGGGAAGCGAGGAGGCAGCATGGGCAGGGTTCAGGAGGAGGATCCAAGGGGACCTGCACGTGGTGCTGACGATGACCAGCCAGGGCAGCGCGCACATGCGCCAGAGCATGCTGGCGTCCCCGGCTCTCTTCAACCGCTGCACTGTGCTCTGGCTGCCGCCCTGGGGGGACACGGGGCTTGCTCCGCTTGCTCAGAGTCGCCTCGCCGGTGTTTCGCTGGTTCACCCTGTCTCGGCCGCAGCTGCTGCAGCAGCAGGAGGAGCAGGAGGAGGAGTAGGAGGAGGAGCAGGAGGGGCAGGAGGAAGAGGAGACTCCAAGCAGATTGATATGCCGGCTGATTCTGCGGGTGGTGCTGCTGGTGGGGCTGGGGAAGCGAAGGAGAGGCAGCTGCTGGCGGAGGTTCTGGTGGCAATTCATGGCTGCGCTGTTAGTGCTGTTAGCGAGTCGCTCAATAACAGAGCTTTTGGGAAGGCTGGGCTGGGAGGGGAGCAGCAGCAGGAGGGGAGCTTGCAGCATTCCTTCTCCCCAGACTCTCTCATCTCCCTCCGCTCCTTCTCAGACCTCCTCACCCACTTCCACTCCTCCGTCTCCCACTCGCACCGCCGCGCACACCGCACCTTCCAGCACCTCTCCCTGGGCCTCACAAAAGTCACAGCCGCAGAGCACCGCGTAGTACTCCTCCGAAAACACTTAGAACTCAAATCGAAGGAACTCCAAGTGAAAGAGTCTGCTGCGAACGGGAAGTTACAGCAGATTGCGGCTGAGCAAGCGCTAGGGGAGAGGCAGAGGAAGGAAGCCCAGGGGCTGATTGCGAGGTTGGACGAGCAGGCAAGGAGTGTGGAGAGGCATAGGAGGGAGGCGCAGGAGAATCTGGAAAGGGTAGAGCCGGCGGTTGATGCGGCGAAAACTGCAGTGAAGTCGATTAGAAAGTCGCAGCTGGACGATTTGAAGGCCATGCCGAATCCACCGAGCGCAATTAAACTGGTGAGTGGTTCTGTCTATGTGTGTGTAAGGCCCGTGTCTGCCCGTGTAAGGTAAGGCCCCGGAGAGGCAGAGGAAGGAAGCTCAGGGGCTGATTGCGAGGCTGGACGAGCAGGCAAAGAGTGTGGAGAGGCACCGGAGGGAGGCGCAGGAGAATCTGGAGCGGGTCGAGCCGGCAGTTGATGCGGCGAAAACGGCGGTGAAGTCGATCAGGAAATCCCAGCTGGACGATTTGAAGGCCATGCCGAATCCACCGAGCGCCATTAAGCTGGTGAGTGGTGTGCACTGAACCAGACTAAGCCTGGGGGTAAAGGCGGGGAAAAAGGCGGTGCAGTCGATTAGGAAATCGCAGGTGGATGATCTCAAGGCCATGCCCAATCCACCGAGCGCGATCAAGCTGGTGAGTTCCAGTATATGTGTGTGCCTGGGGATAGTGGCAGTTGAAACGGCGGTGAAGTGGATACGGAAGTCGCAGCTGGATGATCTCAAGGCCATGCCGAATCCACCGAGCGCGATCAAACTGGTGAGTGCCTGTGTGTGTGTGTAAGCATGTGTCTGCTTGTGTCTCCTCCACTACACGGAAATCACAGCTAGATGATCTCAAGGCCATGCCGAATCCACCGAGCGCGATTAAACTGGTGAGTGCGTGCAGGTGTGCTTGCTATGCCATAGGGTGGCAGGGTGTTCTCTCCGTGGTGCGCCAAAATAGCTTCATCTGCTCCACTCCCTTTCCCTTCTTCCCCACCCCACCCTGCCCTCTTCAACCAGACGCTGGAAGGAGTGTGTCTGCTCCTGACCGGCTTAAAGCCCTCCACGTGGCAGGGCATTCTCTCTTGCTGGTATGCCGAAATGACTTCTCTCTTCCACTCACAACCCGTCCTCCTCTCCCCTCTCCCCTCTCCCATCTTCCCTTAAACACCAGACGCTGGGAGGAGTGTGTCTGCTCCTGACCGGCTTAAAGCCCTCCACGTGGCAGGGCATTCTCTCTGTGTTGGCTGCCAAAGCAACTTCTCTCCCCCAACCCCCACTCCTCGCCTCCCCCCTTTACCCCACCAGACGCTAGAAGGAGTGTGTCTGCTGCTGACGGGTTTAAAGCCCACCACGTGGCATTCTCTCTGTCGTGCGGCGAAACGACTTCATCCCCCTCACTCACCCTCCCTTTCCCCCCCTCGTCCCCAACCACACTTCCCTTGAACCCCAGACGCTCGAGGGCGTGTGTCTCCTCCTGACGGGTTTAAAGCCCACCACGTGGCAGGGCATTCTCTCTGTCGTGCGGCGAAACGACTTCATCCCCAATATACTGGGATGCGATATGGAGGCCATAGACCCCGTGCTGGTGCTGCGCGTGAAGCGAGAGTACCTGGATGCGCGAGTGATCTCATTTGATGCCGTCAACAGGTAAGCAATTGAATGTGTGGTAAACTGGTAGTAATGCGCTATGGAGGCTATAGATCCGGTGCTGGTGCTGCGTGTGAAGAGAGAGAGTACCTGGACGCGCGGGTGATCTCCTTTGACGCCGTCAACAGGTGAGAGAGAGAGAGAGAGAGAGAGAGAGAGAGAGAGAGAGAGAGAGAGAGAGAGAGAGAGAGAGAGAGAGAGAGAGAGAGAGAGAGAGTCAATGTGTGGTAAGGTGTGGAGCATAGACCCCCGCCATAGGCAGAGATAGACCCCCCCATTCAGTGCTGCGGGTGAAGAGG